GTTTTCGGGGTCGCTGAATCTAAATCCGAGGTCCAAAAACCCCTTGCACGTCAGGGTTCTGACATAACCTCAAAAATTCGAAACCCCCGGACTCGAATATAATTTTTTATGGGGTTTTTTGAGAGTATATCGTAACCCTGACATTCTGGAGTTTTTAAGACCTCGGATTCGAATTCAGCGACCCCGAAAACATGAAGTAAACATGGTCTGACCTCGGACTGGAATATAATTTTGTATGAGGTTTTTCTATAAAAATAGTTCGGCATCAAAACTTTTTCAAAATACCTTCCTGTACTTCGTGTGCGCACTTGGGGGATGGGTGGAGTCTTTCTGGAGTATCTCTTGTAGTCTCAGAGACATACGCATTCCAACGGACAGACGGACATGGTTATATCGACTCGGCTGTTAATGCTGATCAAGAATTTTTACATATGTATGTACCTTATGGTATAACTTATGGGTTCGGAGATGATTTCTTCTCTATGCCTAATACATTTACACGAAGACAGTATACACTTTTACTCTTCGAGTACTGGTTTACTGGTATAATAAGTTTGTGAAATTTGTTGTTAAAGGTTGTTAAAGTTTGAAACTCGACTTCTGCCCCTACTTCTTGTTTTTGTTTTCTGCCTATTGGGCTGCAACATAACCTCAAAACTTAATAGCACCTATAAGACAAAAAGACAGGCAAATCTGGATAATTACATTGGCGTAAGACTTGTCAAAAACAAGACAATACTCGTGTGCGGATTTTTCAAAACTTAAATAAAATTCAAATAATATTTAACGTATCAAAATTATTGCAATAGACGAAACCGATATAATCTTGTCGATCCAAGAGAATACATTGCCCTTCAATAAATACCTTACCCCAATATACTCCAATACCTTTTAATGCACTGTTCATGTGTAAAAGTAAAAATGAACTTTTAATAAAGACCTCAGTGAAATCTGATGACTCCTCATGAACTCAGTCATAAAATGCAAACTAACATGCCGCCCATGAAGGTAACAAAACAATAGTCAGAAATTACTTGAAAAAGTTTCAAATGACTGGACAGCGTTGTAATTGCTGTGCCGATTGCTGCACTTATTTATTTGCAACGATCCTTGTGGCCAAATGCGACTGATGATGCTGTCGAGCATTCAAAAGAAATGGCCGAAACGCATTCAGACAGCGTTTTCGGAATGTTTTCAAATCAAATATCGGTAGTTGTCAAGGGGAAGGGATATGCCTTGCTAGCGGACGTTGATTGCCTTTGACTGCGTATTTATTTGTATGGTTTGGTCTGTCTGTCAGAGTGTTTTTTAGTCCACTGGTCAGTTTGGAAAACATTTTTTTGCGCTGCTCCTCTTTTTGTTTTGTTTCTGCTCTTTGCATGTTGTGTCATTTTCATTTTGTGCACTATTGAGTTGTGTGTTTTACGCTTTTTGTCAACATTTTGTTTCCAGCTGCTGTTGTGTATTTTTTTACTGTGCTTGCTACTGCCTTTAATGAAATGTTTTGACTCAATCCCTTTCCACTTACTTCCCCAATAGAATGCTGAAAAATCATAGAGATTCTCCTTTAAAGTATTTTAAAGCAATTTAATTTAAACATTTTTTATAGACCCAATAATACACTGTCCCGTCAAAAAGTACTTCGGACATTTAAAACTTTATTAATTAAATGATAAAATAAAATTATATTTAATTTTTGATATTTTAAAACTTATTTTAGTTAAAAGTAAATAAATTTTAATTTAATTAAATTTTTCCCAATATTAAAGCCTTACTCGTTTTAACTTAAGTTAATTAAAGATAGGCAGTTATTATTATTATTATAATATACCATATATTAGATAGGCAGCTATGTCAATTTATTATAGTTTAGAAAATAATATTTTTGTTGTCAAATAGTACTTTTTATCATATTTAAAAAAAAAGTCAAGTTAAATTTATACTTTTTACAGCTTTCAAAATAAATATTTTTGAGAGCTTAGTAAGGTTTTAAATATAGTATATTCTATATATAGTAATTATTCGACTTCTTACTCTTTCTATACTGGCATTCTTCTTATATAAATTTCGAATGCTGTTAAATAATTTTCAATAAGTTTTTGTATTTGACCTTTTATAGAAAAACAGTGTTTTTCCTGCCCCATATTTCCATATTGCCAATTCTACGCAAGAATGGGGAAACTGATAAGATAGTTTGATAACATCCCAAAGTATTATTTAAACCCACAAGCCTTACGAAAAATTGCCGCTAATTTTATAACGACGGCCCCGACCTGCATGGTTAATTACGAATAATAATGATAAATTAAATAGAATTTGAAATACAAAAATTAATCTCTGATACTCAAACCACAATTATTAAAAATTAAGTCCTTTATCGTTCATCCTCATTTTTGGTTCCTTATGTGGAAAAAATGCAAGTAAAAGTTTATTTTTGTTTATTTTTTTAGATAAATTTTTTTTTATAGGTTCACATAAATTCGCTTGCATTTTCATGATTTTTTCATCACATATTAATCGTACGCATGTTTTTTTAATTTAAATACATGTCCTTCCAAAATTTGAACTCAACACGATTAATATTTTCGAAGCTGTACACTAATTTGTATGCTCATTTCAGAGTGCAACAAAGAAAGCCGGATAACTTTGGAAGCGTGTTTCTGAAGTCGGTGATTTGGATTTCTTGAAAATAAATAAACGGTTCGGTCTCAAATATTAACACAATATTTTTGTTAATTTTTCCCAGGTAATGAATGAAAGAATTTATTTTCTTAAATATATAACCTATATATATATTCATAAATTTTATAAATAATATAATATATAAATATATATTTATACCCTTGCAGAGGGTATTATAATTTTGTCCAAAAGTGTGCAACGCAGTGAAGGAGACATCTCCGACCCTATAAAGTATATATATTCTTGATCAGGATCACCTCCTGAGTTGATATGAGCATGTCCGTCTGTCCGTCTGTCTGTCCGTCTGTCTGTCTGTCCGTTTCTACGCGAACTAGTCTCTCAGTTTAAAAGCTATCGTCTTGAAACTTTGCACACACCCTTCTTTCCTTTACACGCAGTATATAAGTCGGAACGGCCCGGATCGGTCGACTATATCCTATAGCTGCCATATAACTGATTGATCAGAAATGGTATAACTTTGGTGTTTTTAGAGTTAGAGAGTTCAAATTTGACACGAGAGCTATCTTTGGCAAAACATTACGACATGCCATAGAACTGAACGATCGGAAATGGTTTTTGGTAGAAATACCAACTTTGGTACTTTTGAAGATAGAAGTTTGGGACTTTTTTTTTAGATTTTTTATTTTAGTTTATTGGTTTTATTATGATTTAATCATAAGAATCGGTTTGCGATTTATATCCGGTTTTAACTGCAAGGGTATATCAACATCGGCTCCGCCCGAAGTTAGCTTTCCTTTCTTGTTTTTTGATAACTTAAGAAAAAATTTCCTGCGAAAGATTTTTTTAAAGCTAACCATTTTTTCAGAAAGGCGAATTTTTTAAAATCCTTCCTTTCTGCATTTATGCTTAAGAATAAATATAGAGCCTACTGTTTTTCTAAGGATTTATTGGGCTACCACTTTAAAATTTAAATTTTATTTAGATTATTTATTGAGTATGCAATGATTTTTAATGAACCCCGAAAAGCTTTCCTAATAGAATGGTACTACAATAAATTTGGGAATTATGCTTTCCATCTTAAATGTTATTTGATGCCCGTGTGGGATGGGACTAATTTATTTCATTGTAAAGATTCCTTAAAACTAAAAAACTTTTAAAAAGGCTTTTCTTTATGTATTAACTGTTCCCTTCTCAGTTTCCACTTCAATATAACTAGCTTCATTCTGAGCTTTCAATTGTAACAATATTTATAAACATTTTTTGCAAATAAAGAGGCCGTTCCTGAGGAACCCAAAATTTCTTATTCAAAATCCTAAACTTAAAACTCTTGCACAGATTGCACATTAATTCGATTCACTTCACTCAAATGCATCAGGATTTGTTCTTGGACTGAAAGCGTTTATGCAGCTACTTCCCACCTAAGATGGCTCTTTCCCGATTTCACCCACTCTCAAAGTGTAAATGACCTCTGAAATTTTAATAGTAGCTCAAATTTAAAAGTCTGATAAAAGTATTGCATTCTAGCAAGTCGTTACTCTTATCATAATAGCGTTCCCATCTTTTCACATTATACTTATTATTAAAAGATTTTAAGCTCTTATTGTAAAGGCTTAAACTGTTCACAGATATTTAACTTCAAAATCAAATACTGAATAATAAAAATACATCAACAATTACAAATTAAAAATTTTTTCATTTTCCTAACTAATCCTAACATTTTCCTAACTTCCTAAGAAACTAACTAATCTAAATGATACTTTAATAATTTTAATTTAAGACCAGGTTGTCCTGAGACTGGATCGAAAAGCTTAAGCAGCAAAGATAGCTTGCAGTTTAGGTGATTTCTATTGAAAGATTTATGGAAATCATCCGGTATTGTTGGCCGATCCTTAAAGAAATATGTGTATCAGATTCATTTATAGTTTTTCCATTTATTTTCAGAATTGATTTATAATTGTACAGTTTAATGGCTGCAAAACAGTCAAAAAATACTGTTCCAAAATTTTTTAAAAAGGGCCAGTTTTACATAAAATGGTTTCTAAAAAAAAATCTGATAGATTCTTTTATATGCAACATAAATTGCTAAAAGTCAAAGACTTTTTTTGCACACAAGCTTATGTATGTATATTTTTTTGTCAATTCAAATATCAAAACCATAACCAAACGCCTACAAATAGAGGTGCTAATGGATTATTGGTTTAGAATTCCAAGCTCAGTGAGAAGTTTTATTATTTCCGAGAAGAAAAAATATTTTTCCGAAAACTGATAGTTATCTATGCGTATTTTTTTATAAAAATTAATCCCAATATGTATTTCTTTCTAAAAAATTTCATTTTTCCTAAGAACTGTCAGCTTACCTTGTCTCCAGTTTGGAATATTACTTAATTATGCTTGAAGTTTTTTGTTATTAAATTTTTTTGATAATTTTCTGAACCGTTTAGGACTTATTAAGTATGGTTCGACGATTCACTTATAATATAATCATTTTGGAAAATACACCTTTCACTGCACCATTAATGAACAAGTGAGTACTGAGACTTTGACCCTTAACTTTTAATTTGAATAGATCTATGGTGTAAGGTGTCTAGTGCACCACTCTTACAATATGCAATACGGCTAAATATAAATAATTCTACTGATACTGCAATTACTTTACAACAGTTCACAACCATTTCAGATTTAAGCGAGCGATCTTGGGAAAGGTTCGCGACTTCTTAATTTTCCTGTTTCAAAGCTTTTAAAAAATTTCTAGGACATTTGGTTAGCCTGGGGATATGGTTTTCAAACGGAAGATTTCTGGCCTACAATCTATTATTTTAAGCACTAGGTTAAAGAATCTGTTATTACATCTATTGAACACGACGATATAAAAACTGGGCAATAGTATATTCGGTCTTCAAAAGGACCTAGTTCTTCGCTTAGGTGAGTCGCGTTGGAGAGTTTCTTGGCATAGGTCAGTGTCCATAGAGGTATTTTCAAATTTCGACTAAATCCCGGGGAAAATACACACGCACACACCTAGTCCTTGGAATTTCAACAAGCGAAACAACAGAAAATTTCTTCTGCCCGATGCCGGCTCTGTGTCGTCAGCAACCTCTCGTTACCGTAATTCGCGCAAAACTGATCCTTAACGCATTCCGAAAAAATTTGAAGCTCGCCTTGGCTGGCGAATTGTGCAACGAAACACGAACCTATCCAAATGCACGAGACATTGTGCCAGCCGAGAGCACCTGCAAACGACGACAGGACGAAACGAAGCTGCGTATGCCGATGGGGCCCGAGGACCCAGACCAGCCGGCAAATAAGGAGACAACCGAGCGGTCATTGGCGCTATCACAAGGCATCCCTACTCTGTAGGTCTCTAAGCAATCGCCCAGTCGCCCATCGCTCTATAAATGACTCCCAGTAAACAGAGATAAATAATTTTTTTAAAAGACAAAGTAAAAATATTGTCGATTAAATCTTTTCCGGCCACTCTACCTTGGCGAATTTATTTCTAAGCTTGATTCTATCCTTTCTGTGCTTAAATGTGCTCTTGGATTCGCAACAAGTAAAAGCCTCCCCTCCAAACTCTCCACTCTGGGAGCTTTTTTCTAAATACAAAATTCAGCTAAATACAAAATTCAATGTAAAAACATTGATATATGCATAACTACGTCTAATTAAGCTTCAATTGTAGAAATAACTTAAGTTAAATTAAAAAGGATTAATAAAGGAATTTGAAGAAAAGCCAAAAATATTTTTCAATGCAGAAAAGCTCACGGCGAATTCAATGTAAATTATTGTTGGCTTTTGCAAAGAGTAACTTCGTAGATAAAAAGAGACAGAACCAACTATGAGAGAGACAACTCCCAAAGTCTACACGAAAGCTGTTCCAAAGGATGTTTGGTTGTGACAGGCATGTTTCAATTTATTATATAGGGAAGTAATAGTAATTTATATTCAAAATAATGTTTAACAGTCAGTCATAGTACAGTCTATAGAAAATAAGTGTATAAACATAGATATTTTTAATGTGGGGCTATGGGGCTAAGAAAACACTGAATGAAAACACTTCCTGTTGGCCTACTAACGAAAATGCAATCAAGAAGACATACTATACTCGAAAGCGAATGCAAACACAGACAGCCAGTAACAATAATAACCACAGCGGCGAGACAGAAACATTCCAATGCAATTAGTGCGCACATAAACCTGAATGAGCGGAAAAACCACCACCACTCGAGAGCGATATCCTGTCCGATTTCACCACGCGCAGAGCTTTAGCCGCTCACAAACACACTCATACACATGGGTAGTCATGGAAAAGCAAAAAGCAAAACACGTTGCATACCGGGGGGCGCTCCTTCTATTTGCTGAGAAGAAGGTACGCTCTGCGCGCAGGCGCACAGCCAGCTGCCCTTATCGCGGCCGCTGACCAATCCGAAGGCCCTCTGTAATTTTTATGAGTATGTCTGGCGACGGCCAATGGCGGCGTTGCACATTTCCAGGCCTTCAGGACGGCGGTGCACAAGTGCCCCTACAATCGGAGGCCGGTAGGCGTAAACGCGGCTCGAAGGAGCAGCTCCAAGCTCTGACTTACCTCTCGCCATAGTGTCGATTACTGAGGATACTTTGGCATGGTGGCCTATCTGTAGGCTCAATTACAGAGGCATACACTCGGGCACCCACACCCGGGGCTGGTGCATCCGGAGGTGTTTGCTCTACTAGGTGACAAATGCCGACGCCCGTGAATATGTAGGCGTTGTCTTTCTTTGGCTGATTTTCCCATTCTGACTGCAAGTTGAGGGTAATTGGGGTCGTTCGCATCTTCCTTGCTGCATTTATCCTTGTTGATTTTTCGTATTTCGTATTGCATATTTTCAGGCGCCTCTGATTGCCTCTGCCCCTGCCCCTGCCTCTGGCACCATCGAAGCCCTTTTCGGCATTTATGATGACATTTTCCCAGAGCCTGCACGAGTGCTCCGCACTGTTTGCCAGGAGAGGTCAGGTCAGCATATTTGTCAAGCAAAATATATTTCTTTCGTGCCAAGTGTGAAATTGTCTTTCCCTGTTGCACTTTTGATTGCCGTCTCAAATCAAAGTGGCAGGGGCACTCCCAGAAAGGAATCCGGGTATGTGCTGTAGAAATATTTTCAGGCTAAATCAGAGCAACGTGGCTAAAGTTGTTGTCGAGGCAATTTCAAGGGTTTGTCGGATGGCTGAAAAAATAAAAAACCACCAAGTCATTTAAAGCCCTTACCGATCAGAAAAAAAGGGAAGGTCAATATTGGAGTTTCACTCGCTTATCCCAAATCACAGCCACACTGAGCCATATTAAAGAACAAAATTGAGTTTTAAAGCTCTCTTTTGTACCGGTGACACCAGATCACGCAAATGCATCTATAAACCCACACAGGTATAAGTCATCCCAAAGTAGCAGTCGCCCACACGGGCAGGGACACATCCACCATGGATGCCATGACAGCTGCAAGGACTAAAGCCCCGACCGAGAATTCAGTTAGACCGGCCAAAGAGCTTAAAATCAAAAGTCAAGCCCGGCCTATGTAAATAAATGCAATATGCAGGCTGGCCCCGAAACGGGCACGCCAGTTAGTCACGGAGTGAAAGCAGGAAGAGAGACAAATAAACAACAAAGGGGAGAATAGGAGCAAGATATTTATTTAGCCAACACCAGGATCTAGGAAGTAGGCGCCGCCCGGAGATTCGGATGGCGATTGAGGATTGTGGGGGGGCGCCGTAGATTCGACAGACCCGATTCTGATTAAGCGCCCAGGTCAACTGGCCAGGCTGACAACTCCGGCCCCTTCGGTTGGCCTGCCCATCCATTTGTCCGACTGTCACTATGCCTGGCCATCAGACTGTCGCAACCGCAGGAAGGGGCAATGGAAAAACCTAGAAACGAAAAAATCCTATCCAACGGCTAGGCTGACAACGCTTTCGTCTGTTTTTTTTTTTTTTTTTTGCCGTGCATTGTAGCAATGTAACAGCGTAAGCAGAATTACGTGCAATTGTTTTCTGCAGTGGTTCGTGCACATAAACGCGGCATTGTAGAGCCGGCTGGGCACTACGCTGGGTAAACATAGACACGTTGCCTGCATTCAGGATGAGCTCCACGAGTGCCTGACTCTCTTTTAGAAGGGTTGCAGGGGCAGTGGGCTGTGGAGGCACCTTAATCCTTGTGCAATTCAAGGCTTCAATGGCGGATACTTCAAGAAAGTAGTGAAACAAAACTTATCGCATAAGCTGCACATCCAAATAAGAAAGGAATACTGATAAAATCCGAAAGCCTTGGATCTTCTCTATATCGATTTGTATAATATACATATCTCTGCAGAGGGTTTATAATTGCACAAAAGTCTTCGAACTAAATGGAAGAATTATTTTTGATCAGTTTTACCTTCTGAGTCCGCCTCACCTTCTAGTCTTTTAGTTTTTAAATTGTCGAAGTTTTCTTTCCTTTCTTGTTTTTATATCTAGGATGCCTCCTATGAAGCCATTAATCATTCATAATTTGACACATATTTCCATACCAGTGTAATGTTTAAGTTATAATGCATAATAAAATAATATTTTTTATCAAACTGTGTTTCATAATGGTTGGTCTATAAACAACTGTCATTATTAAAAATTATATTCCGTAATCGCGCCACAAATACAAACATCCAACGCTTGTTATGTGACTCTACCACCTGTGGTCGCTCCAATAGCTTCATTCAAGAAGATAATGATCAACTTGTTTATAGAAACTGTTTCCCAATGCATCAATTAAATATAAACGGTACCAAATGGCCGTTTAAAACAAACAGCCTTTAATTTTGGATCACCAGGTAAATAGCTAACATTTAAGCAGAGAAATGGACAGAGTCAAGCTTAGTAAAAATCTGAATTTCCTTCCAAATTTCAGAGCTCAATGAAGGTTTTAAGTTTTTTAATTTTAGTTATAGGCCTATCCGTTTTTCCAACTCCCTTGGTAAATATGCCGTGAAATGTTTTGTATTTTTCATTAAACAACGTGATCGCAGATAGGAACAATAATAATGCAGAATAGCGAGTGTGGGAACTATAATCGGAGTTACCTTTCCAACGTGACGATGCTGGTGAAAAATGCTAGAATGTTCCTGGAGTTTTACCTAATCAAAGACCTGGTTCCGGGGGTTATGATGGAAATGGAGTTTCTCATAAAAATGCAGAACTCCATGAAGTATCAGAAGATTTTCCAGTACTCCCTGGACATGTGCAATATGTTGGCTCTAAAAAGGAACAACATGTTCAAGAGATGGTTCGCCACGTTTTTCAATTCTGGAAATTTTAAGAAGAAATGTCCTGTAGAGCCGAACTGCTATTACTTGAGGAACTATAACTACAACACACTTTATATTCCAAAATTTCTGTATGCGGGAAAATACCGAGTGAAGTTTACCATGAACCAGTTTAAGGATTACGTGCTGGACTGCTCTTTTGAAGTAGAAATAAAGTAAACCATGTGTGACCCGAGTCCCCTTTTCGCTCTGCAGATTTCATTTTTAAACAATTAGTCTGATCCACTGGCTGAAAATGTAATTTGACTCTCAGTTTTCAACTGGCGTTAGTGGAAAAATGTTTAAGTTAGGCGTTATTATTTCCCTATTTTGTTTTCAGCATATGGTGACCACGCATGCAGTAAGTAAACTTTACTCAACTTTACTTAGACTGGAATTTTATAGCCTTTTTGTTTGAAGTCCTTCTTCGCATTTCAGACGGGACAGTCCCGATTTAGCAGAAAGCACTTCGACAACTTTACGTTGGACATTATAAACAACACCTTGTACATGGACATGGTAACGACCAGGACCATTCACCGGGGCTTTAAGGTCCTCCTCGACTTTCAAATGAGGTTCGAGAAGGGCACAAGCTACCAGCGCCTATTTGCTCACATCCTAGACCCGTGCGCAGTCGTTTCTTCGGTGAGAACCAACATCTTTAAGAGCTGGTTCGACAGCATGCTGCGCCATGGAAACTTCATGTACAACTGTCCTGTGCCCAAGGGGCATTACTTCCTGCAGGGCTGGAAGATGGACTCAACGCAGGTGCCGCACTACATGCTCCCTGGAAACTACTGCGTGTCGGCACACTTCTTCTATGGGAAGCTCAAGACGAAGCAGGAGGACTTTGTTTTAGACTTGAATGTCTATGCCGCTTTAAAAGCCTAGGCCGTAAAAGCTACAAAAGGTCAATGTCACTTAACCTTAAATAAAAATTTAAACACGCATCTATAAATAGCCTCTGTACCACTGCGCCATTCTAAGGCAATTTAAAACCAATTAGCCGATGAAACTCGTGTGCATCAATCAAAGCGGCTATTGGTAGCAAAGCCTCATTGCATTCGGAGGTGAAATCGGAAGTACAGATGTCAAGGAAAAGCCTGATCCTAGTTCTTGCACTTATCAGTCTGTCAGAGGTAAATAGGAACTGGAAGTAAGTAACAAACGTACTAACAACGCACTCTGCTAGCCCAACTCGATTAGACTGGATCGCGTAAAGTGCGACAGAAACCCTCGATACTTTAGGGTCCTTAATGTCTCGCTTGTCAATGACACCGTCTCAGCTGATGTGGAATTGCTACAGACCTTGAAGGCGGGGTTTCGGGGCCACGTAGATGTGCAGCTGCGCCTGAGTAACGCCAAGAAGTTCCAAAGCCTGGTTCAGACCGACACCGACTACTGCGATTTGCTCTCGACCCTGAAGGACTCCCTCTTCCGGCGATGGATCAAGAGCGTGTCGAAGCACAGCAACTTCATGGAAAACTGCCCGGTGCCACCCAGTCACTACGTCCTCAAGAACTGGCACATCGACATGGGTCTGGTGCCCTCGTATCTCCTCAGCGGCGACTACCGCCTGAAGGCTCTGGTCTACTACGGAAAGTACCGCACCAAAAAGCAATTGGTCCTCGTTGAGTGCATTGTCGAGGCCACAATGCTCAATAAGTAAATTTGCATGGGTTCATCTTGATGCGGAGCAAGTACATTGGAAATTAAACAGTATCGGACCCGGCAATCAATCAATCCACCACGCAACTTGAACCGCATAATAAACCCATTAAATGGCTTTAATGTTATTGTTTACAAATCGGTGGGCACGGTGAAAAGCTCGTTGACTTTGACTCGTGATGTTTGTGCCAAAAACGGTAATGATGGTTCGGGATTCCCTAATCGTAGCTATTATCATTGAAAGTTGTGTGGTAAGTCGCTATACTTCCCTGAATGACTCTTTTAAAAACCCACACGTTGCGCAGGCGCCCAAAATGACATTTCGTACCGGAGATTGCAGATACGACAAGAAGATCTTTTCTAACTTCTCCATTCAAATCGTCAACACCAAACTAATGATGGACATGATTCTGGTATCGGCACTCCCGCCGGGCTTAAAGGCGCATTTGAGCTTCGAGTTTCGCCTTTCCAAGGGCAAGCCCTACCAAAGTGTCTATCAGCACGACATGAACTACTGTGCCCTCATCAAGGGGGCCCAGGAGTCAATCTACCGGCGCTGGTTCACGTCAATGCTGAAGGTGGGAAACTTCGCCACGAGCTGTCCCATCAAGCAAGGCTACTACTACATGCACGGGTGGACCCTTGACGCCAGCTATGTCCCCTCGTTTTTCTACGTAGGGGACTACCGAATCTGCGGAAGCTTCTTTTATGGCAGGTTCAAGAAGAATGTGATAAATCCAATGCTGGAGTGCTCTGTCGAAGCTGTGCTGAATTGAGGCTAACGAACACCTATGGTGTTGGTGTCATGGTCTAATGCATAAAACAATTAATATATTTTGTACGCCAAGCTTCGAGTATTTACAGTCTCGTTTTGTTTCTGAGTAGCTATGAGTCGGCTGATGTGGATTCTACAGCTTTTGAGACCGGAGATACAGCTGGGCGTGGTCGCGTTTCTGCTCTCCGCCGATGCGGTGAGTCATGGCATCAGTGATCATCAGTTTTAAATATAAAAAATTTGACTTCCTAGGACCGCAATATAAGATTCATCGCCGGTGAAAGCCGGTTCAACCACGATTACTTTGAGAACTTTACGTTCACCATTCGAAACGATCAGGTCTTCCTGGACATGTATCTGCGAAAACCTCTTCTTCGAGGCTGGCGGGCCAGGCTGGACTTTCAGTTGCGGGTAGGAAACTCTAAGAGCTTCCAGAGCCTCTTCTCCACCAACGTCGACGTGTGCAGCATTGTGAATGCCGGCAAGATCACCCTGTTCAAGAAGTGGTACCGAAACCTCCTCAAGTATGGCAACTTTCTTCGGCAGTGTCCCCTGAATGCGAGCCATTACTACCTGAGGGGGTGGCAGTTCGGGGAGGGGCTGGTGCCGCCGTTCATCACCAGCGGGTCTTACCGACTAGAGACCTACAATTTCTACGGCAAGTACAAGGGGAAAAACGAGGACTTCATTATGAGTTGTACGGCCGATGCAGTCATTAATATCTAATTACTGATACTCGAAACTAATGACATGCAAATATACATTCTGAGCCCGTGCCCACCTCCTCAATGATTATGTTTTTCGGCCCTTCGATCTCATTTTGGTTTTGTAGTTAGTGGAAATAGAAATGTGGAAATATTTTCTTTTCCCTGCGATTTTTCTACTTTATAATCAGATTTATTGTGTGGAAGGGGTAAGTTTATATACGAACTAAATTAAGGACGCCTACAGTTAACACTTTTTCAGGAACGTGTTGTAAAGTTTCTCTCCAGCAACTGCACCTTTAATGAAAAATATTTCAAGAATTTCTCAATTACAATAGTCGAGAACCTTATGAACATGGATATGTACCTTAACCGTCCCATTCAACGGGGATTCAAGTGCAAGATGGACATCCAGCTGCGTCTGGCGAACGCCAAGCACTTCCAATCGGTGTTCAACCAGAAAAGTGACGTGTGTGCCTTGACGTCCAGTGTAAAGAATAGTATGATCAAGTCTTGGTTTAAAGACATGACCAAGCACAGCAACTTCATGTATAATTGTCCAGTAGAAGTAGGCCACTACTACCTGCACAACTGGAAAATGGGCAGCTCGATGATCCACAAGTTCCTCATTCCTGGGTCATATCGTGGCGACATCCACTTCTTCTATGGAAAATATGGGACCAAGTCCCACGAAGAAACTTTATCAGTCACAATTGATGCCCTTCTCTCCAACTAGACCTCACAAGGCATATAAAATAGCTAATATGTAAAGGAAAGTGTAATATGCAGCTATAATCAAATCAATATCAGTAATAGTAGTGCCGTATCCGCAATAAAGCAGTGAGAATGAAATCATTACCGCCTCTTTCCACAGATGCATTAACAGCGTCTGCATCGGGTGACATTAGCAATTGGAAAGCATAAAAAAATAATATCCTGTACAAAGATGCTACATGTTGCACGACATGAATGAATGAAACATTCAATTTCGCGCGAATGTCCTGTTTTTTCTAGGTGTCTGGCAGGAATCGCAGCTGTCGCACACAGAAAAGACAAGAAAGCTTGCAGACTTTTATCTCGAATGCGACTTTTATGCGGGCTCGAGGATGCTGTTAATATTATCGCTTCCTAATTGTTTCTGTGATTCCTTCAGGATATCTGCGTTCGCACACTCAGCGTTCTCGCCAAATGCACAAACATGAAAGGCTGCCCTACGATTCGTAGTAGGCCTTTTGGCCTGGCTGTTTCTTTTGATTCCCGCTGGTATAATTATAGATTGTCTGACTCAAGGTTCCCATCGAGAATCGAAAGTAATTCGACTTCTGGCTCCGGAAACGCCTTTTGACATGTGCGACTGCTAATGAGAGTCGGTCAGAGAATGAGGGTTAATCAGGTAAGCTCTGCTTAATTGGTTCAAATACCCATCCAGCCGTGTAATTGGAGGCCTTTGAAATAATGACAAATTCGTGTTTGCACTAACTACTTTATTGAAAACCATCCAGGTAAGAGGGAGATGGAAGGGAGTGTGGACTTCGTCCGATCGGGCAGTTTGAAGAATCCGTTTGTAAATCAATTTCACGCCAAACAAACATTAAACTTTATTGAACACAAAGAACAGCAACTGCGACAAGCATAATGATGGCAATTTCCTTGAGTACACGACGCCACTCCTGCATCCTGCCCCAAGTCCTTCGGCCCTCCGGTTCCCTCCGCGTTTATTTCAAAGATGATCAAAATGGTTAGGTCGCAACTACGGCAGCTGGGGGCAGCTCCAGCCTCTTCCAAGGCGCCAACAAAGTACAAGAAATTGCTATCTGCTCCATCACGCCGCCATCGGAAGTGCAATTGATGGCAATGCAAAGAAAAGAAATTCGTGGCATCCTTTGAAGCGCGTGCAAACGTGTCGAGAGAAGCCGGACGAAGGCGCCCAGCTCGAGAACAGCTAGCAAGGAGGAAAACTTTTCGACGGAGAAATACTTTGTCCACAAACAATTATTGACAGTGTTTAAATTATTTCGCACTAGTTTGCGCTCTCGCATAAATCGCAGCTTGCAGCTCGCCCCAATCAGGTTCCGGACTTCAAGCCCTGCTGGTGTCCGTGTCACAGGACGAAGCCGCGCCCTGGTCCTCGTCCTCTCGATGGGGTCATTAATTTATTTATGCGAATTGCACGTGCAACGATTTGCGCAATTGGAAGTGAGAAGTTGTGTTAGTCAGGGGAGATTTGAGCCCCTCAATAATTCATTGATTTTTAAAGTGACATTTGGTGTGAATTTGAGGTGAACCCTTTCCGGAAACTGCTTCCCAGTCACTTCATTTTTATGTCGATATAGAAGACCGTGTTCGTCAGGTTGTCGTTGTTCCACTGTCTGACGTAAATATTCGAGTCTATCCGAAAGCTGCCCGAGCGGATGAATCGGGGAATCGTCTCTTTCTCTGATCGAATGTTGCGCATGTAGTAGTTCCCCTGAAGCATACAAAATTCAAACATGTGGCTATTGATTAGAATCTGGATGTGACAGTACCTCCGGCATAGGACAGCTCCGTGGCATATTGGACTGCCGTAGAATATTGTTCATCCAGTAGTTGATGAGGCTGTTGCCCTTGCCCCTGCCCATCACCTGGCACAGGTTGACGTTGTACGAAAAAACATCTCGGTAGGTGTCCTCCCTTTTAGATACCTGCTGTCCAATCGCAGCCCTCAGCCAGAGGTCCACAGTAATATTTCGCGAAAAGTTCAATGTGAAGTTTATCGTAGAGCGGTCCTGGCTGATTTCCGCCTCGTACAGGGATATGTATTTTCTGTTGAACCCGGTGACAATTTTTCGAAACAGCAATGAGTTCAGCGACTGCAGGTGGAGAAGATCAGATAACATCGGCTCGGATCAGATCATCCCATTTATTCCTACCTTGTAACCCTCATGACGTGGCCAAGCCGAGCAAATTACTAACCCGCAGAGGATGGCTCTATGGATCTCCATCGCGGCAGCCCCGTTTACTCGATTAGTTGAATAGGATTGTTTGGGCTCCCCCATCCGGGCTAAGCAGATTCACTCATTATAACACCATCAATTTTCCATTTTCACTAAATTCATCATTATCAGTAGCAAGGAATCAGTGCCTCTATTATTGCAACTTCAAACTCGAATCTGCGTCAAGCTCCACTCCACCCCACCTAGGTGCTTCTGGGATGTAGCCTCTCGGCGTAATTAAATTGCTCTGTTCCAAAGTTTACCCAAGCGACAAATCTCGCTCTTCTTGGCTCTCCGAGCTCCCTCGTATAATTTGTTAGAGGCTGACGCTAAAAATATGATAAATTATCACATAACGGGCAGCTGCAGTTGCCCGTCCGACGAGGACGGCTTAACTCGACGCGGGGACCAGCTTCCCGACAAGACCGCACACTTTGTACCCTGGCAGCAACCCTTTCAATGGGTTAACAAGTAAAAAATACTGGATACTGAGGTAAATAATAAACTTATGTTTAAAAAATATATTAAAGATTTCAAAAATTCAATCTATTGTTAAGTAAATATTGGTTTACTCAATAGGTGTATTATTATAGTAGGTATTTTTAGTATCTACGTTTTGGTATATTATTTACAGAAGATTTTAATTTTTTCGCGTTTATATCTTATAAAGTTGGCAAAATCATTATAAAAACTGGATGCATGCTAAAAAGTTAATATATCAAATTAAAAGCTATCACAGAGAAAATGTGTGGATTTTTTAGATAAGAAACTTAACATTTTTAATGTTCCTTTCCTCTCAAATGAGAGATTCATTTATTAATGCTACTTCAATTCTGGGAAATTCAGTGAAAAACCTTAAACGCAGAAAATATTTTCATTTTAAAAATGTTAAAATTTTAAAAGCTTTAAAAACTACTTGTCTACATATATTAAGATGTGCATGATCTTTGAAAATTTTCACTCAATCCAAATTGTTTGGAGGTTTACATTAATTTTAATGTCCAGTCTATTTAAAAAAAATTAAAAAAAAAACCTTTTCAAGAAAAAAAAATCATTAATATATGTAAATAAAATATTATTTTTAAAGGAAACTTAGAAAAAACTTCGTAAAAATAGCGTAAAAAAGGGAAAAATATTTTAACAAAATTATTTAAACATGCACATTGTATATTTTTTTAAAAAGCAAGGGCCATTCCTTTCTTTAACTTTAAGTATGTTCTAAATAAACTGAATGCGGAAAATTCATTGCAGGATTTCATAATTGTAATTGATTTAATAAAAATCCTCAAAATTCCCTTTTTGCAAGGGTATAAATGATCCGATGTTTTCTACGGGCCAAATCTTAATTATAAATCTAAAGGAAGCACTTGCAACCAAAAAAATGGGAAAAAATTACCGCAAACGCAGTGCGCCGAAGGAAGCACGGCGGAGGCCGGGGTCCGAATGAAATGATGATTTAATAGAATGGTCTGCGGGCACCGCCAGCTGGCTGGCACCGCCCGACAGAGCCGAATGAATGGATTTCAAGCAGCAGAGCGAGGGATGGCGGAAATGACTTCATAAGCTGCTGCAACCATAAACCGGAAGTTAACAGACTTTCGCTGATGTGGCACTTTTCATGGGGTTGCAGCTGTTACAGCTGCAGGACTCCGCCAGGATGGCAAGACAAACGGACACAGGGCCGTTCCCGGCCGGACAGCCGACACGCTCGGCGGGCAGTCTGAAAAATTGTGACAGTGCATGGCCGCAGGATAATCAAATAATTTTTTCTCTTCCTTTTCTTGTAGAGCTTCACCGTTTTTTTGTGATATTTTCTGCTGCTGTCCTGCTGGTTCGTATACTTTTTTGATTGTAGCATTACAACAAAATGCTAATTGCCTCGCCAGATACGATCGCAGCTACTTCGTTTCCGTCTCCTCCGGTTCGAGACTTTGCAACTTTTTCAAATTGCAACTGTCATTGATTTTCTCTCATTTGACAGATTTTCCCTTCTGCTGGCGGCCTGGTATTGACTTCAACGTTAATAAATCAAGCCAAATATGTTCAAGTAAAGTTAGCTTCGTGCCCCAGGTGAACTTGGGTGCCCCACTCCTACAGATTGTGTACAAGCCGTATAAATGCCGCCCAGCTTGGAGTATAGCACTCGGCCAGAGTATTTTAAAATATTACCGGCTACGAGTCTGACGGTCAGACTTCTTGGCACCCACGACTACAGGAATTGAACAAACTTGGCAAATGCACTTATAATCCTTTAAATATAATACCATATAAAAATAATAATATAATACCATATGTATTTTTTGTTTAAGCTATGGGAATTGTTTATTGGAGAAAGAGAATTGTTTATTGGATATTTAAAATATAAATTTTATTGGAGAAAGTTTTTATACCCTTGCAGAGGGTATTATAAGTTTGGTCAAAAGTGTGCAACGCAGTGAAGGAGACATATCCGCAAAAAAATGGAATCTGTGTATAGAGCCTTGATCTGCATAAGTATTACCCTCTCCGAATACACGTCTTACAAAATGTAAATGTAAATGTAGCCTCAGACGCTCTACTCTTGGAAAGTTCTATATAGACTAGAGACTGAAGACTAGACTAAAGTGTTTCGACATAAATAAAGTACCTTGCTCTAAAATCGGTATTATTCTTTCGTACAAGTCCGAGAATTTAGGAATTAGTACTGAAAACTACTCCTTTAAGAATGTGTGTATATGCCCAAGTGCGTTCGCGGCTTTCAAGTTAAGAACATTCTTCCACTCGTATATGCAGAAGACGCCACAAGCTGATTGCGACAGAGAGAGAATTTCGCAGACGAATTGAAGCGCCTGCTGCTCAGAATAATGACGATGATTCCGTTGATTTGAATTGTGATTAAAATGCAGCGTATAATTTCAGCACACCAGCCCGAACTCCTCACCCGTCCCAGCTCCGGCCACGATTGCCTGCCACGGGTTGTGGAGTGTCTGTGCGGCTGTCTCCGAGTTGGCACCATGTGCGCCGGGCGGGAGTCCCGGAAGAAGTTTTGTACCACGCTTCGCACTTTGTCTGACTGGGCAGAAATTCCTTGAAGAAGAATGCGGCGGCATTGTGGGGGAAGTCGAAGAAAAATTGCAAAAACCGCAACTCGTGTCGACTTGATGTTAGAATAATGAAGAGGCAAAACTTTTGCGCAAGGCATGTAATTTTTCGCTGTGACAGCCGGCCGTAGACCCGACTCCTCCCTCCCAAGTTCCCCACCGGAACCGGAAGTTGTCATTCGTTTTGTGCATTTGTTAAAATGTTTCAGCTAAAAACAGAGAAAAGAAACGAAAACAAAACCGCAACACTGCGAAATATAAACTGCATGACAACTTCTGTTGCAGGATCTCATTTACGACAGTTTTCTTTTGCTTCTTCCATTCTCCATTACGCCCAGTCCTTGGGCAGATGTCCAAGCCTAGGCTTGCCCACAACCTTCCCATAAATAACAGGCACAGGCACGGGCACAGGACCAGGACCGAGCCCAATGACCGGCCCAGACAGATTCCGAACCGGAATCAGAGTCGGAGTCAGAGTTCGAGCGGCCGCGTAATAAATGCGAACAATGACACAATTGATTGGCCAATTACGTGCGCTTCGGGGTGATTATGACGTTACGTACCGTTAGCCGACGCACAGCAGGCCCAATTTGGTCAGAGGTCATCGTATGGCGGAGTGGGTGGGTGGAGAGAGTGGGTCGGTGGACGGTGGACGGTGGGCAGGCGAGGGGCGTGTTTCTGTCATGCCTGGCTAAATTTATACAATTAAATGCGTGAAATTCGTTTGAATAATTGAGCAATTTTTCGAGCTCTGCTTGGCATTGGGCAGGGAGTATGGTCGAGAATGCATGTGAGGCTGCGGGCCGTTGGGCTTTAAAAGCTCCCGTGGGCCTGCATTTCCATGCAATCTTTAAACATGACAAGGTAGGCCCGAAACTTAACTAACCACGTTATAAAGTTACAATTCGAGTAGCCGCAAAGGCCCGTAAAGCAACGAAAAGCGTCAACTTTATGGTCAGTGGTCGAGGGCGGAAAGGAAGCCGCAACAAATTTATTTTCAGGCCCGACCACTTATGCGACACGGTATCGACCAAGGACGAGAGCATCACCCGGACCTGGCCCACAGCCAGCGCCAGTACCAAACACTTCATTGTGCAGCGGGTCGTTTAAAAAGCTGATTCAGTTTCATCATTAACTAGATTAATACGGCTTGGCGTAGCCTCTGACAGCCTCCAATCTGAGAAACCCGAAGCCCACTCTCACCCATCGCCTCTATATCGGTGTGGACGAGGACGTGCAAGTGGATGAGGATGAGGCCCATGGCCCGGGCAAACAATGGCCATGTGGTCTGCCATTGCAGGGCACTTGAAGTTTATCGCTTTGAAACTGCAGCGCTGCACCACGCGGCGAATGGGCAATGTCCGAGGACATAAATTTTTATGTGCCTCCTTCGAAGGGGGCTTTTTGGCTAATTTGTCCGACACATTGCCATCGCTAATTGTGCGTGGAAATGGGCGAGGCTACGCTGTGGTCTGGATGAGTCCAAAGCAGCGAGGATTAGAGCTCGCGGCGGAACCATTGGCATCATCAAATCGAATGTCGTAATGTCCCCTGCCGTGTACGCGGCCATTTAAAGTGACGATTATTCCAAGGTGCAGGATTATGAGGCGCCATCAACAGGCGGCACTACTGTTTGGCATCAATGGATATTTCTTACCACTTTCTCCGCCGCTTCGCTCTTCAACGCGGCCAACAGTTTGTTCAGTATCTCTGGCGGCAGCCGCGTGGAATTGTGATAATATTTGCCAGGGAGGTGTTTACATTTGACTCAAAGTTGGAAACTCGAGCCGTTTACGCCGGGCAAAGGGGTGTGGCCGCCAGTCAAGCGGAGCTACCCTACCAAAAAGGCGTAGTACGGAGAAAGGGTAGTGGACGCCCCACCTCTTGCTATGGAATCACAGCTTTCGACACTTTGCAAAATTGTATCGG